GTGAGAGCTGGGTCAAAGGTCACGCCAAGATTCCTGACAGGGTTTGGTGTGAGAAGCAAGCTGACCAAGATAGTCTGACATTTAAAACACGAGACATCTAACGTTCCCTGCCTGTCAGTCGGAGGCAGCGGTGACACCAGTGTGTGGCAGCCTCGCCTCTGTCAGTGAGCACCAGGGTACGTGGCTACAGTGCAGCTCATCACCATCAGTGTGTGAATGTGTGTGTGTGGGTGAATGACTGATTGTCTTATAAAGTGCCTTGAAGGATTCTAGGATTCTAGAAGGTACTTTACCAAACACAGGCCATTTACCATGTTAGTCAAACTTTTGTGACCTGTGTACTACCCAACATGTGCACTACCTAATCTAAAATACTATTTCATGATAAAAAGTGTTTAAAAATCAATCACGTCTAAAGCTGCAGCTATTTGCAGAGCACAGTAGAAAACTTGATGGATGACTAGTCACCCCGGAAGCTCCTACATGGTCTCAAGGTTCTGATCTGGATAAACGGATGGTATGACACGGCCATCCTGTGAGCTGTTGTGTTTACTTTAGTGACACCTTGATGATGTTGACTGACCTCAGCCAGAGCCGGCCCAAACTCGTTTACACGTTTTGATTCAATCTGCTTGATTGGAGCAGTTAATGAAAACCTGCCACAAACATGTGGTTAAAGTGACCTCATCATTGTCCAATCAAACTGTAGATACAGTCGAATATTAAAATAGGGTTGAACCTATTTCCACAAAACAGATCAATATTGATGCTTGTTTTAGTTTTATTTTACTTTATATTTGTTATTTATATTTGTTTAATATTGTCAGGTTTTTCAATCCAGTGTGTGCGTGTGCGTGTGTGTGTGTGTGTGTGTGTGTGTGTGTGTGTGTGTGTGTGTGTGTGTGTGTGTGTGTGTGTGTGTGTGCTTGATGTATACTAAACTCTCAAAGTTTGCAAACTGCAGCTGGAGACATTTTTAATAATATGACAGAAACTTTTTCGATGTTTTTAGAACGCGTCTTTCAATATTTGACGCAGTAACTTACAAATTTCATCAAGTATTCGTTGAAGTATTGGAGGTCATTTTCCTTATTTCTTGCTAGTGTGAAACTCAAAATTTTGCACAAACTCACTCAATGTCGTAGGTTTTAGTGCAATGACAGAGCAGTGCACTTCACCTAGCGGCCCGCGGGCCACATTCGGCTCGCCTGATAATTTCACCTGGCCTCCCAACCCTTTGAGGGCCATTGAAGTTTAGCAGCAAATTCATGTCTCACAAATCAATAATTGTTTACGTTCAAACATAACTAACACTACAATCAAAACAATTTGATAACGTAGAAGAAGAACAATTTTTCATATCAGAATCAGAAGGTTTTATTGCCATACGTGCGAGAATCACAACATTAGGAAATTGCTGCGGTACTTGGTGCAAAAAAAGATGATAAAAAAGAGATAATTAAAAAACAGGAAGTAGGAATATAATCATGATATAATAATAATATAAAGTGGCAATACTTAGAGAAACAGCTGCTATATACAAGACAGTTTAGGTGCTAATCAAAGCGGATCAGTTCAGGTACAAACACAACACCGGGTCATGTGACTAGAACCAGGCGACTGGAGTGGGCAGACCTAGGATAGGGAGCCTAAGTCACGCCCATCTACTTCCAGACCATGAGTCCCCAGAAGAACAAAAAAATGAATGCAAGTCAATGGGGGCTAAAACGCTATTTTCTAGATCCACTTGCTGTGTGCCGTCGCTTTCACATATGATGTTCGTGAATTTAAGAGAAGCATTTTGATACCAAGAAAGCACATATTTTCGAACGGGGGGAATGATATTTTAGGTTTCATGTGAAAATAAGTTCAGGACTACAAATGAGCTTCACGAAAGTGACATCATCAAACCAGACATGGAGAGAAACGGAGGAAAAATGACTAAGTTTAGCGAACTTAAAATCCTTCCTTCGGGAGGAAAGAACCACCGTAAATCTTGCCGTGTGGTAAGTAGCAGCTACGCTGGAGGAGAGAAGATTACGTGGTGACGTGCCGATTATCTGATTTGTAGTCATGCTAATTACAAACTTTTACAAGCTGATAAATCTCAAAGTACGTGACTGGTGTGGTCGAAACACACATCATTACAATTCGTTTAAATAGCAGTACAACGTGTGATCCGGGCGTAAGGCGAAGCAAATGAGAAAATAGTTCTTTTAGCTCCGTTGTCTTAGGCCTAGTCCACACATAGCCGGGTTTTTCTAAAAACGAATATCCGCCCCTCCAAAAACTTGCATCCACACCACCTCGTTTAAAAAAAAAACTGTCCACACGTACCCGGATAAATATGTTGTTAAGGACATGCAAGACCTGTAGGCGGCAGTACTTCCCCCGTTCTTAACCTCGTCATTCGTCTGTGGTCTTCCGCAAGGAGCAGTAATTCCGCTTGCAAAAACAAACAAGCAAAAAGCGCTTGGACAACTGATAAAGCGAGCGCAGCTCTGAGGGCATCCATGCTGTCGGCTAGTGTAAACACAGGTCGCACACGTGATGTCAGCATTTTTTTGTCGCGGAAAGTGACGTTGCGGACCTTAAAACTCCGGTTTTGTCTGTCCACACGCAGACACCCAAAACGGAGAAAACGCAGATCTTCACTTTGGCCGGAGTTTTTAAAAAGATCCGTTTTCGTGTGGATGACAGGCCAAAACGTAGAAAAATATCTACGTTTTGGCAGATCCCCGGCTACGTGTGGACAGGGCCTTAGACTCCCTACTGTCATTCATGAGTCCGACCGCAACTATATGGCACCTCTCAAGATAAAACTCCCCTTAAGTATATATTTAAAGGGACACACACACAGCTGGCGATGGAAGTTAACAGCCAGTGATCACTGAACTTTCTTTACCTGATTAATACAGTTGCACATTAACTTCGGGATGTGCACATTAGCAGGTACCATCACTCAAAAAGTGATGAGTCATTGTTGGTGTGAATTTCTCTATCTTGTTTACCTTCTGAGATGCTGAAAGTTTCATTTAGATTAAGTTTCTCATGACATGTTACATCAGTGACCCGTCAAAAACGGGACATTCATGACACTACACCCGTATTGATCTGGAACGTGAAGCGGAACGAGAAACATCATGACAGATATCAGAAATCAGCATTATAATCTCAGTATTATGGTGGAAATTTGAAGAAAATAGCTAATGAACTGTTTGGTGAAATGGTATGAACTGTACTTCTATAGCACTTTCAGAGTCAGATGACTCCTGTTGATTCTCTACAGTGAATCATTCATTCATTCACACACTGATGGTGATGAGCTATGATGTAGCCACAGCTGCCCTGAGACGCACTGACAGGGGCGAGGCTGTCGAGCACAGGCGTCACCGGTCCCTCCGACCAGTGGACTGGGAGGGTGAAGTGTCTTGCCCGAGGACACAACGAGTGTGACAACTGAGCGGGACTCGATCCCACAACCGTCGCGGTTATGTGACGGGCTCATAACTCCTCTGCCACTGCCGTCCCTGCCACCAATTTTAAAAGGGGAAACCAATTAAAATAATCCTGATTTAACAGAAGAATGAGAATTCTAAACAAAGCAAGTCAGCTGTGTGAAAAAACAATCAAATGAAACAATCTGAACTGCCCACAGGCAAAAACAAAACAAGCTTCAGCACTCTCTCACAGCTGCAGGAGTACAGAAAGAATGTTCTAAGATTGGTATGAAAAAGAGGCCGCAGCAAATTAGAAATCCAGTAATCACATCAGAATCATCTGAAGGCATAACCCTAATCCAGTACAGAAGTCTTGGGAAGCTGAAGGATTCCAGCACTGGATGAACCAAACAGGGTGAAGCTACTTTTAGCTACTGCTGCACACAGATGGAATCAGCTTCAAATGAAATGAACACTTTTATGGTTTATCAGCCTTTGAATGATCACTTCTTATGCTACACCTTCCGCACCGTAACTGCTCAGCCTTAACGAGGTCTGTTTTCTGATTCTTACATCTTATTTTGTTTGTATATTTTATTTCTAACTTTAACATCTGCTGTTTTATGTTGTCACATTGACTTTGATGTTTTATGTTCTCGCTGATCTTGCACCTGGAAGGCATGTTGAGTTGCTTCTGTGTGGGAAACGTTCCAAAGAAATAAAGCTGCCTTGCCGCCATTGGGTGATTAAATGTTAACCTAAAATAAGTTGAGATAAATAAGGAAGAACGATGGTCCATCAGCTCTGCAACTAATTAAATGTGTTTAATAGAGGAAATGTTTGTGGAATAGCACAGCAAGTAGCAGCTAACTCACCGCTAGCTGAATCGCCTGGGCTTGATTTTTCTCTTTCTGTGTTTAACTGTGGAATTATTTCTAATTTACTTGCAAAATCAGCTCCAAATGTTCCTATTTTATCTTGGTTTCCATTACTTACATGCAAGCGCGCACACATATGCACTTTTCCTGACTGAACTTTTACAACACGAGATCAAGCCCCCATCTGTCAGGCAATGCAAGAGTCCAGCCGGAGTGCTGTCGACGTCATGCTGCAGCCTCGCCACGGTGAACCCTGAACTTACATCATTTACTTATTTGTTCTAAAGTTCAGCGACTTTCGTAACAACTCAGAGGGACAGGGATGACCATTGATAGAAATTTTACTTAGCTTATATCAAACTATTTCATCTTAATTGCAACAACCGATTAAAGAAAAATGGAAATATTTCTGTGATGCAAAAATGTGCAAAAACAGTGTTGCATGTTTTGTGCTCTCACTTTGACTGTTTTTCTTGCAGCAATGTGAGTTAAACATCTCAAAGCTACAGGTTCTCACTCAGATCTAGCCCAGTTATCGGCTGATGGCAGGAGAGAACCGGTTACATAAAGACTGCGTTATGTCCGGCAGCGGATTAATGATTAGCTGAAGTCCTGCGACACACCGGGGTCATGCTCACACCTCCTGACACACTTCCCCCTCCTTCCTACTCTTCTCCCTCCTCTTTCAGGGACATCCCAGGGTATAAAAGGAGCAAACCTTCTCCAGGGAGGACACAATGGACCAAGAGTCCTCAACTTGACTGGGAACAGCCATCAGAGACACCTCAGCTGATGAGGCCAAGCTAACAGCTCTTTGCTCCAAACTACTGAAGGTAACATGAAATACTTTGTGTGTGGCAGCTCTTGTAGGAGAGGATTACGATGATGATGCTGAAATCTTCAGTTTGTCTAAAATCTTTTTTCTTTTTCCCTTCAAATTTTCAGACTTCCAGACTTCATCTCGTCTCTCTTAGTCTGTCGACTCTCTCGCTCTCCAGACTTTGTCACCATGCCTCCTCAGATCCAGTCCCAAAGCCAGAATGGTCCCAGGATCCTGCAGGGCAGCCTCAGTGCCTTGAGCCCCGCGGTCCGGGAGTTTGTGGAAGCCAACATGGTCCTGTGCCAGCCTGAGTCTGTCCACATCTGTGATGGCTCAGATCAGGAGAACCGAGCCATCCTGACCCAGCTAGAGGAACAGGGGATGATCAAGAAGCTCACCAAATACGAGAACTGGTAGGATGATTTATTTAAGTCAGTTTTGACGGATTTCACATTGGTAGCTTAGCTATAGCCATGGTCAGCACCTTTTTAGATAAAAAACAAACTCAGAAAGCAAAACTACTGACAAACCAGTAAGTCTGGCTGCTTCCGACACAAAATGTCATCTCTGACCTTTCTCCTCCTTCAGCTGGTTAGCTAGAACCGACCCAAGGGATGTGGCTCGCATTGAGAGCAGAACAGTGATTGTTACCCAGAACCAGAGGGACACAGTACCAACACCACTGGATGGAGGAGTCAGCCAACTGGGCCGTTGGATGTCTCCAGAGGAGTTTGACAAAGCCATGGGTCAACGCTTCCCCGGCTGCATGAAAGGTACCACAGAGATGCAGGTTTTGTTCTCCAGTAATGATCAAAAAGTAGAGAACATTTGTTTGTCATGATGTAAAGATCTATTTTTCCTGTCCCTGTCCTCAGGTCGCACCATGTATGTGATTCCCTTCAGCATGGGTCCAGTAGGTTCCCCCTTGTCTAAGATTGGTGTGGAGCTGACGGACTCCCCCTACGTCGTGGCCAGCATGAGGGTGATGACCCGAATGGGGAAGACAGTGCTATCCGCTCTGGGAAATGGAGAGTTTGTCCGCTGCCTGCACTCCGTTGGCTGTCCTCTACCTCTCAAAAGTACAAAATCAAAGCATCCTCACTAGAATCTCTGTAAGTTTTAGAGCATTTAAATAACTGCAGTTGTTATTTCAGAGCCCCTGGTAAACAACTGGCCCTGCAATCCTGAGCAGACACTGATTGCCCACATCCCAGACCGCAGACAGATTGTGTCGTTTGGCAGTGGTTATGGAGGAAACTCGCTGCTGGGAAAGAAGTGCTTCGCTCTCCGTATCGCCTCTCGCATCGCCAAAGAGGAAGGCTGGCTGGCTGAGCACATGCTGGTAAGAAAAGGCAACGCATTTTTATTTTATTTAACCATTTCACAGAACAATCGTCATTGTTATGGTCAAACTTAAACATTTCTGCTGCTCAGATCCTCGGTGTCACTAATCCTGCTGGGGAGAAGAAGTACATGGCGGCAGCCTTTCCCAGCGCCTGTGGGAAAACCAACCTGGCCATGCTCTGCCCAACGCTGCCTGGATGGAAGGTTGAGTGCGTAGGAGATGATATCGCTTGGATGAAGTTTGACAACCAAGGTGAGAAAAATACTTCACAGATAATGAAACATGAAAATTGCGAACAAAGAACAAAACAAACGTATTTCCCTTTTCTATTTTCTTAGGCAATTTACGTGCCATCAACCCTGAGAATGGCTTTTTTGGTGTTGCACCCGGCACATCCATCAAAACCAACCCCAATGCCATGGCGACCATTGTTAGGAACACCATCTTCACAAATGTTGCAGAGACCAGCGACGGCGGCGTGTACTGGGAGGGAATGGACCAAAAACTTCCTGAGGAAGTGACTCTCACGTCCTGGAAAAACAAGCCCTGGAATTTAGAAGATGGTGAGAACCTAGACCAGGGGACTAAAACTCAAAAATAAGCTTTTTTTAAGAAGAAAATAAGTTGATTGAATAATCTTCGCTTTCTCTGTTTGTAGGAGAACCTTGTGCTCATCCCAACTCTCGTTTCTGCACACCGGCCGGTCAGTGTCCCATTATTGATCCGCAGTGGGAATCCCCGGAGGGAGTCCCCATTGAGGCTATCATTTTTGGAGGCCGCAGACCAGAAGGTGAGAATAACCAGTCCGCATTCTTAATCACAGCTGGACTTAAATGAAATAAAGATGTAATCAATGAAACTCTGTAAATCCTGTTTTCCTTTGTTCCCTTTAGGTGTCCCTCTGGTGTATGAAGCCTTCAGCTGGCAGCATGGTGTGTTTGTTGGAGCAGCCATGAGGTCAGAGGCCACCGCAGCAGCCGAACACAAAGGTCGGTGTCTAAACAACCATCTCTTTGTTAGTGTTTGTTATTTTCTGTTGGATCTGAAACTTGAAACTGACTTCATCTTTTTGTACTTTTTTATCCAGGCAAGGTAATCATGCACGACCCCTTTGCCATGCGCCCTTTCTTTGGCTACAACTTTGGCCAGTACCTTTCCCACTGGCTGAGCATGGCCGACCGTCCTGGTGCCAAGCTCCCCAAGATTTTCCACGTCAACTGGTTCCGCAAGTCTCCGACAGCTGGCTTCCTCTGGCCCGGTTTTGGGGACAATATCCGCGTCCTGGACTGGATGTTCAGACGAGTGAACGGTGAGACCGGCGCCATGCCCTCAGCAGTGGGTTACCTGCCCTGCCGTGACTCCCTGAACCTCCAGGGTCTGCAGGGGAAGCTGGATCTGGATGAGCTGTTCTCCTTGGATCAGGAGTTCTGGCAGAAAGAGGTGGAGGAGGTGAGGAAGTACTTCACCACTCAGGTGAACAGTGACCTGCCCACCACGGTGGCCCAGCAGCTGGAGCTGCTGCAGCAGAGGGTGGAGCAGATGTGAAAGGAAAGGAGGCGCAGCCTAAAAGACCACGTTAGTGATTTTAGTTCTGCATGTGGTACAACTGATATGTAACTCAGAATATTTAGTCGCCAAACTCCGACCAACACACATTACAATCAGGAAGTCAGATTTAAACGGGTGTTTAATTTTAAAACTTCCTACTAAGTGAAGCATCGTCAGCTAACAGATGAGAAACAACCGTTACGGTTTGATTTTAAGTTTAGTTACTTTACCAGCAAAAATCCTCTATCTTTTCCGATGACTTCCCAGAATTCCGACTGCTGAAGTCGATAGGAAATGTTTAATTCCCATTCATCTATGCTGTTGCAACGAAGCTGGTTTCTAAACCTTTGTGCAATGTGTTCTTTTATTTTATGTTTGTTCTTTGTCTATTTAAAACTAAATAACTTATTTCAGATGCATATTGTTTTGCCATATGGTGCATCATAAGTGTTCCTGTTATTTGATGTCGTAATTTATTTTTATACAGTATTGTATTTGTTGTGTTTACTGTAATTAAACTGAAGGGAACGCATGAATAAATGATTTTAAAGTTATCTCTGACTCATTTAGAATTGTTTCTGTTCTGTTTTAGTTTTTAAATTTGATGACTCAGCATAAAAATTCTCTTATGCCAGCGGTGCAAATAAAACTAAAACGTTCTGCCTGATCTGATAAAACCTGTGAGTGGTCAAGAAAAAAGGGGTGAAAACAAGCAAAACAGACAATGATTCACGTTCATTCATAAAAATTGTACCAAGTGTTTTCCAACTGTGGGACAAATGTTACAATAAATGTGCAAAAACTAAATCTAAATGTCTCAATGACACTTCAACCACAAGTTTCCCCTGCTCATATTTTTTACTTCACATGCAAGACCAAAGATGCACTGGCAGCAACATTCTGAATAATCTGCAGTTGCGTCACAGATTTTTTGGGAAGACCAGACAAAAGGCACAAGTGCAAACTGATGGAGATGAGCACATGAATGCATTTGTCTATAGTTCCTGTCTGAATATGAGACCTCTGACCTCTGAGTCTATCCATTTGATGATAGCAGTTTCTACCCATCAGCTGCTGGACTATTTAACACTTATTAATCCCTTATCCTTGGGTAAGGGTTAGGGTTATGCTTATAACCCTACTTAGGGTTATACCCTTAGGGTTATAGTTATACTTGGACCAAATGTCTCTTTACACATTTGCATAATTTGTCAGAAACAGCTTCCAGCCCCTGTTGTCTTGTGTTCATTTCAGGCCCTGTCCACACGTAGCCGGGGATCTGCCAAAACGCAGATATTTTTCTACGTTTTGGCCTGTCATCCACACGAAAACAGAGTTTTTTTCCCACGAAAACGGATCTTTTTAAAAACTCCGGCCAAAGTGAAGATCTGCGTTTTCTCCATTTTGGGTGTCTGCATGTGGACAGACAAAACCGGAGTTTTAAGGTCCGCAACGTCACTTTCCGCGACAAAAAAAATGCTGACATCACGTGTGCGACCTGTGTTTACACTAGCCGACAGCATGGATGCCCTCAGAGCTGCGCTCACTTTATCAGTTGTCCAAGCGCTTTTTGCTTGTTTGTTTTTGCAAGCGGAATTACTGCTCCTTGCGGAAGACCACAGACAAAGGACGAGGTTAAGAATGGGGGAAGTACTGCCGCCTACAGGTCTGGCATGTCCTTAACAACGTATTTACCCGGGTACGTGTGGACAGAGTTTTTTTTAACAAGGTGGTGTGGATGCAAGTTTTTGGAGGGGTGGGAAACCTGGCTACGTGTGGACTAGGCCTCAGTGTCCTCATTATTTAGTCACACCTGCCCATGAATTGTGTCCAGCTCACCTGTTTTTGATTTCCCTGTGGATTTAAGCCGTCCTGTTTGACACGCACGTGTCAGATTCTTGAGTTAAGTTTGATTGCTTGCCTGCTCAGCTGAGTGAAATTTAGTTTCCCTGCCTGCCTCCTCCGGATTGCTCACCCAGTGTGCGGATCCTGATGTCAAGAATTCCTACCAATGGCTAGAAAGATCTGGTCTGAAAAACAGCACAGAGGCTCTCATCAAGGCTGCACAGGAACAGACCCTGACCACCAGAGCAATAGAGGCCAAGATCTACCACACCAGACAAGACCCAAGGTGTAGGTTATGCAAAGAGACAATCCACCACATAACTGCAGGGTGTAAGATGCTGGTAGAGAAAGCATCTGTGGAGAGTATGGACTGGAAGCTCCAAGGTCAAAGTGGGTAACACCCTCTAAGGTGGTTACGAATGAGAGAGCCAAGCTCCTGTGGGACTTCCAGATCCAGACCGACAAAATGGTGGAGAACCAACGGGGTGATGTGGTGGTGGACGAACAACAGAAGACAGCTGCTGTGGTTGATGTGGCAATACCAAGTGATGCAACATCAGGAAAAAAGAACATGAGAAACTAAAGTACCAGGGCCTCAAAAAGAACTTGAGAAAGCCTGGAGAGTGAAGACATCGGTGGTTCCTGTGGTCATCGAGGCACTCGTGGCAGTAGCCCCCAAACTGGATGAGAGTGGCTAAAGCAGATCCCAGGAAAGACATTAGACATCTCAGTCCAGAAAAGTGCAGATCTAGGAACAGCTAAGATACTACAGAACCCTCAAGCTCCCAGGCCTCTGGTAGAGGACCCGAGCTTGGCAGGATGAGACCACCCGTGGATGTTAAGATGGGAATTTAAAAGTTCCTGCTTTTTTGTGTTCGTCCACAACCTCGTTGATCTCTTATGTTCTGACTTCTTGCACCATTTTCTCTAAGTTAATTTCTTTTTAGGATTATGGGAGTACTAAAGTTAATCTTCACTCACTTGCTTTAGACTAAGTTCTGAATTCTTATCATGCACCATGTTTCATGTAATCTAGGAACACTTTCAAAGAAAAGACATGCAGGTTTGTGGAGTGTTCCATTTTTGTTGAAGGAATTATCATGTTTTTGCATTTTCATAAATGATTGATGAAGAGAGTTTTTTTTGTAGGTTAGACATGATCCAATTTAAAAACAAAGTTACTGTTTGTGAATTTCTTCGGTCTGGATGATACAGTGCCTGTTGCAAAAGCATCACAACTATTTTAGACTTCTAATTGTTTGAATCTTTTTAATAAACTATGCATGAAAAATGAATTAAAACGCTTTCATTTAGGACCTTCAGATTTTAAAAATGCACAATGAGATGATCTGATTGATTCTTTATGTTTGTTTCTCTGACAGTCCTGGTAATGATTCACTTGCTGTTTTCCACAGACAACTTTGTTCTTGTTTTTGATCTCAGAGAACAGTTACCCCACAAGCACGCATACCCATCCCTTTACTGCATGCCCCAAACATCCTGTTTTTGTGCTAAGCTCTTATCCTATTTCTCTGGTTATCTGTTCATTTATGCCTGCTTCAGCATTAGACTCTGTTCCTTTATTCTAGGTTTTTATTACCTTATTTGGCAACCACCTGCAAAGATCAGAGCAATTATACAGTAAAACTGCAAAAGCCACACTAGACAAATACAAAAGTATTTCCTTGCTTTCAATGGTAATTTCCAAATATTTTCTTCTTTATAAAGTAGAACGAGGCAGTTTTGGCTTGTTTTTAGCACCCCCTAGTGTCCGTTTGTAGAACTAGAAGCAAAACCTATATCCTTGCTGTGCGTTTGTTTTAAAAGCTTAATCTAACAGCTGAAACGTCAGCAGTGCTCATGATCTAAAACATGCAAGAAACATGCTGGAACCAGACTGCAGCACCAGGTATGTCAGCTCCTTGTTTTCTAAGTCCCAACAGAGTGGCCCGCTACTCTAAAGTTGCAAGTGGAATACTCTGGCCACAGGAGGCGATAGTGGCTGGATGGCCTTTCATTAACCCTGTAAAGCATTGTTTCTCAACCCTGGTCCTCGGTGTCCCCCTGTCCTGCATGTTTTCCGTCTCTCTGCTACAGCACACCTGGTTTACATATTTGCATTGCCTCCTTAGAATAACATCAAGTGCTGCAGAAGCCTGTTAATCACCCATTCATTTAAGTCAGGTGTGTGGCAGCAGAGAAACAATGTTGTTGGAAAAGGCAAAAACCATGCAGGGCAGGGGGGCGCTGAGGACCAGGGTTGATAAACATTGCTGTAAAGGGTCATTTTAGCACATACTGGCTCAAGAAAATCCTTTAAAAACATGGAAAAGTTGCAACGTGTCCCTTTAAAAGTTACAGGTCATAGTTTAGACATGAATTAGTTTGTCTTCTCTCTTAATTCCTTCACAGCAGCAGAAAACGGGATTGGTGATGTGTTTTCCAAAAAAACAACAAAGTTCAGTGAGATGAGAACACACTACTCAGCACAATCAAAGGTTTAACATGGATTTTATCTGCTTACAGTGAGATAATCTCAGGTGAAGTTGTGTTTTACGGTGAGCATGAATAAACAGGAGCTGACAGACTTCAGTGGAAATGGAAAACATTTATCTCTCTTGATGAAAGATGCAGAACAGTTTATCAGCTGCACTGATAAAACCAGTGCATGTAGAGCCCCACCATGTTCCTGCGGCTGTTAATCAATACCCAAATGAAGTTAGTAAAATAAAAGGTTAATTTGATGAATGAGGTCAGACTTTCCACATTTTGAGCAACAGGGTTAGATTTGGGGGGGGGGGGGGGGGGGGGGATTCTTCTTGCTGGCCCAAAAGTAAAGTCAAAAAGTCTTGTGGAAAAATAATAAGATGTATGTGTTGTTGGAACAAAATATGACTGAAAACATTCCACTGTGAGGTAAAGTCAGGCTGCTGCATCAGAGAGAGTAGAGTTGGGAAATGGGACAAGCATCAAAGGTAGCGTCTTATCAGCTGGCGTGACTTTAGTGAGCTAACAGAGCTGACATAATAAAGCCACTCCAGGGCCGATCAGACTCTCACCCTGACTAGTACGTCAGCAGTGACGTTCGGCCGTGGGCTGTGGTTGGGCGGAGCTCAGGGAGAATTCCCAGGAGCAGAAAATGTTCCGCCTTTCCAAAAACCTGCTGCAAGACTTGGATATTTCTGCAAAAAGATTTAAAATCTATAAACTGACTGTGATTGTGGCAAATAAAAAAATAATACCTATTTCATTAATTTGCTATTATCCTCGGCTCATTTTCATTTTGATACCAACAGTCAAATGTCTTTGGAAAATTGCTTCATCAGATCCAACTGGTGTGGCTTTTGTTTAGACCGGAATTCATCTCAGGAGACAGTAATATGAGTTTATGATGCCAGAGATTAAATTGAAGAAGTTAATCTGGTTCAGGGATGTCTTTTGTATTAGAAACTGTAAAGAAAATGACCAAAGGGCTGTCAAAAACACCCATGAAGCAATCCATGCTTGTGCATACATAACCTGTGTAATCTAGATACAATAAGTAGACTCACTAGAAGATAATAATCCTGTTTAGCTAAATAAAGTAACTTGTGCATCTTCAGATGAACAAATGGCACGTACATTTGGTGAAATGGCAAAGAAGAAAACAGAAATAGCACTAGTAAAACAGTTTCTAAATTCACAAGTGTCAGTAATTTCCCTTCATTTCTCATCATCAATCAAACGCTTCATCTCCACCATAAAATGAGCCGGAAAACAAGATGAAGAGTATTTGTGAAGCAGGCAGACAGCCAAGCATGGAGAAAGAGCGAGAGCCTGATGTCAGAGCTGTTGTAGAAACTTGGCAGGTGGAAGGAAAAAGTGTGTGGAGTCATTGGGATCTGGCTTAGATCCATCAGAAATGATTAACCAACCAACCAGATACAGCCAGCAGTCCCACTACCAGATCTGAACTGGTCTGAGGCAGATTTGTCTGCATTTCTAATCAATTTCCCTCTGGGATTGATAAAGTATTTTTGAATTGAATTGAATTGAATTTCATTGCTGCCTGTTTGAGTCATTCTGTTAAACTCTTTAAACTTTAGAAAAAGCTCAATTCATCAATGAGAACGTTTGTGATGTGTTGAATTTTAAAATAAAAGTTGTACTCTAATGCCCTCACTTTAGGATTTTTGCTCATAGGAATTTGGGTCAGGTCTGAGCCGAGTGAATCGAGTTCGAGCGCCAGGCCAGAGAGAGACGTGCAACTCGAGTTATTAACTTAGGTCTTTTAGGGTGTGTTTGCCTCTGTTTAGCTTAAAAAAGAGTTTATGCTTGATGGGACGGTCTGGCTAATGGCTAGTACAAACACAGTCTAAAGCAAAGTCCATGGTTTCCAAGATGTCATTGTGTTTCATGCAAACATAAATTCCTGCAGGGCTTCACCCCTAGATGTACTAGAATTGCAGGTCTACCACTGGAATGAACAGTTTTGTGTCCAGCCAATCATTGCAGTCTGTTCCTTGGGCAGGCTTAGAGCTGTGATGGAGAAAAACTACAATGATGTCGCCGGATCAGGAACGGCACTCATTTGAAACGGCTTTGGCATCACCTTTGGAATGTTTAGACTTGGGCTTTTCTTTGAGTCATGAGCAGATAGAGATACTTAAAGCAGCTTTCCAGAGTTTTCCCCTTTCAGGAATTATATATGATTTGTCAGAAATCCGTAAAAGTGATTATCTTATCATGTACTGTGAAATAATGTAAGCAATACGTCTTTTTTTTTAGCACGCCCTCTGCCCTGCAGAGCTCCATCCAATAGCAAACTGAGCATCGACCAGAACTAACCAATAGCATTAGACCACTGCTTAGATGCTTTAAATTTAAGGATTACCTCGGCTGATGCAGAGTTGATGAACTTTTCACGGACAAGTACTGTAAGTCTCTAAATATATGAGAACACAGCATGACATGAGATTAATACTCATAAAACAACGTGTTTTAGCTGTTTGTCGGCTAAGAAGCACATTTACAAACAGAAACGTGAAGTTGCCATCTTAAACAAACAGAGCAACAGACTTTTTGCATGATATGCTTGTCAGCCACTAGATGGTGCCATTGCATGAGAGAAATACTCTGGAAAGAAGCTTTAAGTCATTTATTTAAAAAGGATGTATTTGCTTCTCCTTTGATGTTGTATGGTGGACTCCCTGTTGATGGATTTCTGCGGTGATGAAAACGTCTCTTTCGTTGCTCTGATTGCCTTAGCGCTGTCTGATTGAGTGTGGATGTAGATTCTGCCTCGCAAACATGTGATGCCAACGGCTTGTGGCCAGACTATGTGTTTACATGTGTAGGATGGTTTGCCAGGCTAGCGTTTTTGCTGCTTGTAGTGGGATTTATTCTTGTAAAACGGCACGTGCGTGAAATGTTGTTAAATTTAGATACACATTTCTTCGAACAGTTGCCATTCAGGAACTCATCTTGGTAGGAGGCACAAAAGTCCCCAAACAGAGAACAGTCTGAACTGAAAAATGAGACTTGAGGTGTTTGGAGCTTTGGGTTTTCCGAGTGGCCTTTTGAAGTAAGAGTTTCTGAATATTAGCGTCTGCATAAACACTAAATAACTTCCATCCAGGTCACGACTCAAGTCACACCCTAAAATTGAATTTACTTAAGGTTTATCGCTTGCATCAGAGTTCAGGTCCTTACTCAGATGAATCTCAGCAGGTCGTTCCCACAGTTTAGCCCAGGTCAAAGTTCACATAATTTAATCCAAATCTTATTGAAACTATTGATTTAAGTAAACAAAGCAGAGTCAAATCTATAGATCAATCAGGCCATTTTAGTTTAGATTAGAGCTTTTAAAAAGTTGTAAAATCTGTCTCAAATGATGAGAAAATGTTAAATAACAGAAATTAAAATTTCTCTTTGAAAACAGAACATTGCTTCTTAACTATTAGACGTAAAAGCCTGGTTGCTTTTTATCAGCAAAGTAATACATTAATTGCATTTCAAATGGCTTATTATAAGGGGTTCAAATAAATAAAAATATTTTAAATCGAGTTTTTTCCCTTCCCTTTTAATTTGAAAATTTCTTCTAAATGACAGATTCCCCTAAACAACCACAAGGGGGTGCTGTGTTACTAATATTGGACTTTCAGCTTCAGGCACTCTTAACATTGTCAAAAGCAAAGTCGTATTTAAAAATGCTTCAACACACACTCACTAACTTTATTTAAATAAATATTTAGTAATTTATTTTTCAAATGTATTTAATTTCTGGAATCAGTGGCAGTTTTACCATTAGATATAGGTCAGCAGCCGCCTGAGGCTCCCTTATGTTGGGAAGCACTAGCCCTGACTGCTGGCACCCCTCTGTTAATGCCACAATGGACTATTCCTTTAAGATGTCGATGCACACACAGGAAGTGATTGGTAGTCATTCCACTCCAATCGTTGGTGGCAGTAATGCACCAAATTGTTGTTTGCCAAGTGCCATAAGACCACAAATAAGAAGAAGAAGACAAAGCAGAAAAAGAAGATGAGAGGCGGGAGCGTTCATAACAAACTCAAAGCAGAGGTCAAAACATTAAGCATGAAATGGATTTATCCTAGTGGCTCCAATAAAAGAAAAAAGCAGCTTGCTTTCAAAAATCTTTTATCTTCACTTCCAAAAGTGACGTCGTTTTTTTATGAAATCATCAAAAGGAAGCAGAAATGGAAAAACAATGGAAAATGTTTAAAGGGAGGAAAACATTGACCAAAATGGAAAATAGAAGAAAAAAAGAAAGGCAAAAGCACAGGAGCACTGAGAGGAAAAAGAAAGCAGAACAATTATTGAAAGCACTCAAAGGGAGAGAAAGACAGGGGAAAAAAAGAGGAAAACTAATAAAAAGTGAAAATAACTCATGTCAGAAGAGGGTAGAGTTTTGCAAATCTAGTTAAAGATAAGATTGTTGAAAATTTAGTGTAAAGGGGCCCCATGTCTGTGTTCGCCTTGGGCCCCCAAATTGGTAAATCCGCCACTGTCTGGAATTCGTTAAAAACTGCATTGGCAATTCAGGGCTCTGTTCCCTGAGGGGTTGTCAGGCATTGCGGGGCAACTCTGCTCTGGGTGCCACACCTTCCTGTCTTGTGAAGGCAATCTGGCCTGCGATGCCTGTCTTCTGGTTAAGTTCCAAATTGTTTTAAATATTCTGTGTGGATGGCCTCCAATTTTCTAAGCATAAAGGAGAGCAAATCCACATCTGTCAGACCTATAAAACATCCAAACTGCATAAAATAATAGCTGTCTCGTTATGAATTGCAACCAATTTTTATCTTTGTAACTTTTCCTGTTCAGCGCCTTGGACCCCCTTTGAGCGTGGTGGAAGGCGCTATATAAATAAGGCATGCTGATGATAACCGGACTGCAACGCGTGCAGGTTTAACTTTTACTTACAGCAGAGGAATACAGGACGCTGCACCATCTTCTCAGGCCTTCTCCCCGTTTGAAGCCTGCTTCTTCCAGTCAGAGAACCATTCTACCATTTAGTGGTCATTTCTTATGACCCTCTGACAACATTTTTATGGCTCCAGGAGTTTTCTAGTTCATAAAGGGCCTGCTGCGAACAGGGCCCTTACTGTTCTTCACCGGAGGATTTGATCTCTTTGTTACTCTTCTTCTGCGGACGTTAATGCGGCTCGAACGACAGCGAGTACCCCCAAAAACCATATATCAAAACGAGCTGCTCGGGAGGTGTGCTATTACTTTTCTAAGCGATCCGGTTTATCATGGCAAAATATTTAGCAAAAAACATCAAAAATGTTCTCAATTTTGGGCAGATTGAGGTACACTTTCAAACTTTGAGTGTGTGCCAAACAAAATCTGGATAGGATTTGCATGTTGATTGATTGGTGCATAATTAATTGATTATTTAGATGGCAAGCCCTCTAAAGAGGCATTTTTTTTACATGTGCATGAACACAATCTTGTGCCAGGTTCCTTTTCAGATTTTCTAGGTTTTTTATTATTTATTTTTTTTTATTTTATTTTTTTTTTGTTCTTGATGCGCCTTGTAACTTTTATCTAGAGTGGTACCTTATAAAGATCTCTTTCTTTTTCTTTTTCTTCCTATTTAGATTTTTATTTTCTGGCATTTTATCAAACTGATGCTGTTTTATTGTCTCAGCAGTTTCATAATGTGAAGATGAGCTCACTATTGAGCAAATGGAAGAGCGCCACCTGCTGGACACAGAAACATGCTGAGAAAGCAGTTCTGCTCTGTGTTCTTTAACCTTGAAGTTGATGTGCACAAATCATTACAGTGATTTGGTGAAGATACATTGATATGGCCCCACAAGTGGCCCCTAAATGTGGTCCTGCTTTCTTTACCAGGTTTCTATGTTTTAAAGAGAAAGAAGTTTGAGAATTTAAATGTTTCTCAGCATGTTTTCATTCATTTGGAAAGTTTTATTAATTCAGTTTCCTTCAGTGTCAGTTTCAATTCTGTCTCTTTTGGAGACAAATCTGTCGTGATTGACTCTGCTGAGTCTGATCCAGTAAAATCAGGGTCGGCGTGATCAAACATGGCCGCCTTATTCTTCAGGGGGCCAAGTGTCCCATTTCTTCCAGCTCCTAGAAACACCCCTGTTCTCTCATGATTGTATTTTCTCTCATGGGGGGACTTGAATGACATGAGATTGGCTTCATATTAAAGATGTTGTTGACGGTTTTTATTTTTATTTTGTCAGACAAGTTGGCCAGCTGCATGCAGGAATCCTGAGCAGAACAATTTCACACAGGATCAAACTCCAAAAACAGGTGGAAGACTTCTACAACAGTCGCAAGCTTCGCAACGCTGCAAGATACAAATGTTTATTTAAATATGCACACCTCACATACTGCAACAAAAGGAGAGTGTTATCACACCGTTTCTTTTCTCTAAAACATTGTCAGGAGGAAAAGGCGCCATGCAGCGCTGATTCGGTGAGCAGGTCGGATATAAAACAGCACACAACCATTCGGACATAGCAGAAACACAAAAGGGGAAAAATTCTTCTTCGCCTTTGTTCAGTCGCAGGATGTTAATCACACGCGAGCATTTTCAACACCAGGATTTAAGTTAAGTGTCCTAAAATAAACCTCAGCAAGATAGATATGAAGAAACTGCAGTCAGAGATGATCGCCTCTTTGAAATGAAGAAAAATTCAAGAAAAGTAGCAAAAATAACAAATAAAAATTATTCAGTGAAGAAAACTTATTTATGATTTATGTTGTCTTTTCTTCTTTGTTCCAAATGACTCCGACACGCAGCTCTGTATGAGGTTATGCACCAGAAGGCAACAGTAAAGTGGATTTAAATAATAATAAAAGGTTGCTGTTGATGCTAAACACCAGAAGGCACAAATGGGGACAATGGAGATTTGATGATTAGCAAAAAAAAAAAAAAGAAAAGAAAAGAGAATGACTGAACATGTCTGTGATTAGCAGGTGATGCGTTGCACAAACTGTACAGTTTTTCTCTTTTAACGCCTGCTAATGAACACAAACAGTTAAAAACATAAAGAAACAGCACTTAAAATGGATTTCTTCACTCTCTGTGATCTGCAGCTTCAGTGTGATGCTGTAGGTAGTTTTACACTCTCTAGGTTTACAAAAAAATAACAGTTCTGTGTGAGCAGTGAATTAAAGTGAAATCTTTCTTGTTCTAAAGTGAATAAACAACAACAATAATAATTAGAAATCATTTACAATAAACACACTACGTTAAAATAAGACTAATATTATCAAAAAGGCAAATAGTAGGTGTATTGCAACAATCTTTTGCAGCATCTCTATCAAAAACATCATTTTTAAATCAATCTCTTCATCACCATTCAATCATCATCATCATCATCATCTGAGACAGTGTGTCCGCGGTGATTGACAGCCCACACACTGAGCCTGTCTCAGACAGGCAGGCACACTCAAACGACCAAGCAACAATAACAAATGGACATTTCCAAAAGGACCAATGGCAAAAAGGGCCAGTTTGAAAAGGAGCTCTGTGATTGGATGGGCAGGCACCTTGTGGGAACAGGAAGAGCTAGTTCAGATGTGGGGAGGAGGAGGTGGAGGAGGAGAGAAACCAGGTGTGACGTGACACACAAACCCTGTGTGGTCCTGAGTGTGTGTGTGTGTGTTTAGTTTTTGTCTAGACAGCTGTAGGTATTTCCCACACCACAGTCACTGTACACACACACACACACACGCACACGCACACACGCACACACACACACACACACACACACACACACACACACACACACACACACACACACACACACACTGTGCATTAGCTTCCTATCTTTGATCCTGGATCAAACACACCTCCTCCTGCATGCAGACGTGTTTGCAGTAAACATGAAGTCATTTTACTGAAAATAAACTCTTGATCAGCGTCCTCCTCCTCTCTGAATGTGTTTTGTCAGCCAGCACAGGGTTTCCTGTAGTCATGCACTGTGTTGTGGGTGTATTTTTGTCATCATCTCTTTAGTTTGTTTCCACAGCGACATGCAGCCGGTCTGCTCTCACGGTACCGCTGTGAAGCCTTTCACGCAGGAATTAACGGGAAGTAAACTGATCCGGTTACTGCTGTGATGGAAGAAAAGGATGAACTTTACCTGATCTAGGATCAGATTAAAGGTCTGGGATGATGTGAGCCAATCGTTATTCAGCTGCTTTGGATCAAGAGAATTTTTATTTTTATTTTCTATAATTGAAAAAGAAAAGTAAGTGCTTGCCTCTAAAAGATGTTTAGGAGACAGAAATAAAAAGAACCAATAAACTGATAATGCAAATGGTTCCAAACCCGTTTATATAAGACATAAGTGCTTCTACTCAGACAGTTTGGGTTTTAATTTGGTTGTGTTGGTTACTGTTTACTCCTCCTGCATAACAAAACTACAAAACTGTGATTATCATATGTGATTGTTGTTTATCTGTTTGCTAGCAGGATTAGAAATATATGTCAAGCTGGATATATTCAAACTCGGTCAAAGCAAGAGCAGATGACCTTTTGGAGCAGATCAGGATCAGTTTTTGCTTTTAACTTTTAGAAAATTTTTGGAAATCATAATTATTGTTTGTCAGACTTCATTTTCAAACAGCTGAAACTGAAAAAGCTTTCAATCGTGTAATCAACCAGAGAAAATAACCTTAAAACAACCACGTCAGATTAGAACCAGATCAGTTGTGGCTGCAGTTTGGCTCAGGTCCTGCAGATGGCGCTAATTTACATGAAGACTGGACCTCCCAGGCTGTGAGGAGTCTTACCAATAAAAAACTAAAATAACTTCTGCACTTTGAAAGAGATGACACAGGACGAGCTGCTCTTAACACTTGTGCCACTTGTCAACACTTCAGTGTGTCTAGTTTAAACAACTCATCCTGTGCAAAAAAAAAAAAATCAAACGTTTCTAACAAACTTTAAAACAAAACAAATAAAAAAACATCTGGAAAAGAATTTTGGGTGAAAAAATCTCATTGCAATCATGATTATAATAAGTAAATACATTTTAAGTGTTAAACTTTTTCTTTAGGCAAGAAATTTGCAGAAGTTTGAAAGAATTTAGCATCTTTTAAAAGTGCAGCTAAAACTTTTTGTGCATTATTGTGTGTGTGTGTGTGTGTGTGTGTGTGTGTATGTGTGTGTGTGTGTGTGTGTGTGTGTGTGTGTGTGTGTGTGTGTGTGTGTGTGTGTGTGTGTGTGTGTGTGTGTGTGTGTGTGTGTGTGAGGTTAAGCTGGCGCTGGCTGACAAAGGATTGTGGTCTCGTTCCTGCTGCATTAAAGTGCTCAGAGATGCCTGCAAAAAAAGAACTTCCCAGAGTAAACTGTCTGTCTGTCTGTCTGTCTGTCTGTCTGTCTGTCTGTCTGTCTGTCTGTTGAAGGAAGCAGAGATGCAAATCTAAGAGAATATCAGACATGTTGATGTAAAAGCATCCACACAGCCGCAGCACAGTCAGCATTATCAGACGTTTGGGGCCTGCAGGGTAACTGGCTTCCTTCCTGAGTAATGCACTACATTAGAGATAGTTGTTGTCTCTCTCTTCTCACCCAATGAACAAAAACATCTGATATTCAAATAAAATTACGCAGCAATATCAAAAACCTAATGGCTACTTCATTCTACTCTACACATTTCTATTAGTTGCTCCATCTTGATTGGCTCAGACATGTTCAGTGAGACATAGTCTGATTAACGTAACTTTTATGTGCTTTTGGTCGAGGTAGTAGCAGCCAGCTTTGGATTGCTAATGATTCGGCCAAAAGGATGAGGAAGAGAGAGAGCTCTGGGTTTCTGATTGGACCCGCAGGCTGGACGCTGACATTTGGTTAGCTCGCAGGACTCAGACGTTTGCATAAACCGGAGAGTTTTTTTTAAATCTATGGTATAGTAATGGAGTCTGAATCCATTGGACCAAAGTCAGGCTCTTCCCTCCATTTGATAACCGCTGCTGTGCACTTTTCTGATCTCAAACTCTGGCAAGTTTCTTTTCTATCTTCATCTTTTAAACCCAAAAACAAAGCGCTCCCTCACAAAAAACAAGTCCCTCTCAAACGTTCCATCTGCGCGTACTAAAAAAATAGTGCAATTCTTTTCAGCAAATATATAAATAACTAAAGTCGTGCTTTCCACTTTCAGTTTGCATACGTGTGTGTATATACTCCATATATAACCGATATAAATGTATGTTTCAAACGAGGCTGTTGGCACCCCAACATGTTACTGATGTTCATCTCCATTTTAGAACGACACAACAAACAAACCAAAACCGCGAGGAATGCATCAAGTTCAGAACGAACACAGCTACCTTCTCACACTCTCATCCATGCCAGGACTTTGTGCAAACCCTCTTTAGACACAAAAACAAACAGCAAAAACAGGATATCCATAACATCTCCTGAAGGAGTTGGTCAGCGTAAGGCAGAGCTTTTAGCTTTCGGGACGTTCATCACTGGAAGCTAGTTTCAGATCAACGCTAACTAAATCTAAACGGTAAAAGGTGCTAACGCATCCCGGTGATGGAGCCGAAGCTCGGCGCAGGAGATGAGAACATCAAATAAGACTTTAAGGACTCCGAGCAGTGAAGTGGGAGATTATCACAGAAAAAAAACTAAAAAACTGAACAAATCCTGGAAAAACCAAGAAGATAAAAGTTTTTCGCAGGCGTGGAAATGATGAAATGTTTTACAAAAACAAACAAAACAAGTAAATATTTATAATGAGAAATGGATATCAGTCACTTTCATCATTTCCATCATCTGGACCTCTTCTCAAACCTTGTAGAAAGGGGCAGATGTTCTCCTGTAGCAGAAGCAAAGTAGCTTCCCTAACGGGAAGCCCTCAGCTCTTACCCTATCTGTGCATCTGAAACTGACCTCCAGTCAGTTTGTTAAATGATGTCGATCAGTTCTGTAATCGTTCAGAGATATTATCATTCCCAGGATCATTCCTCACAGTCCACTGATGATTAGCCAAATGGGGAGCTGAAGGATTGACATTTTCTCGCAGGAATGAGGAGAGAGAAAGTCCGGTCACACCTGCTGGGGCTTCTGGGATTTCTCCTTGGTGTTCCTTGCATTCCTGTGGTCCACATGTCTTTGCTGCTGAGGCAGAGGTCTGAGCAGACCATGTATGAGTGAGGACGGGGCCGCATGAGAGGACGAAACAGTTCGATGATTGTGGCTGGAGGTCAGGGACGTCGGGTGGTAGTAGTGCCCGATCACCTCGCTGTAGGTCGGAGGAGATCCTTCCACTCGAGAGCCCCTCTTCTGCTGCCGGTTCAAGGTCTCCTCCAACACGCTGATGCCTGGATGGACACTCGGGGGAGGGGCCTGCAGGCTAGAAGCAGAGCATTGTGGGTAAGTAAGAATGATGTGATCAACTGTAAAATCTGTAACCTCCACAGCCAGAGGAGGAACTGGATCTCTAATGCTTGCTGTCATACGGTGCTTTTGGAAAAGCTCTATAGATCAAAGCTCAAGAAATGTTTTTTACTCTGTATACCAACATTTGGAGTGCTGAAGTAACATAATCTGTTTGGTGGAACACAGATTGATGATTTCTCAGCTTAATCAGCTAAGCTGAGCTTCTGTTACCTGGCCTGCTGGCAGGAGTTGGACGGGTCCAGGGGATGCGAGTCAAACACTGTTCGGTTAGGCGGCGCTCGGACCGACTCGCGGTTCAGCTCCATCTGCTGCTCGGGGTCTCTGAGCTGCAGGGTGCACGGGCCCTGGTACGGCGGGGGCTCCTCGCCATCTGAGAGGGAGATGGTGGGGGGCAGATCGATGAGGCTTTGGGGCAGGTAGGGGTACGTCGGCTGGAACCGACTCGAGGCATATGTGTGCTGGAAGCGCTGCGGTTGGTGCGGAGGCTGGGGTTGGTTGTGCTGTTGGTCCCGCTGCAGGTAGGACAAGACTGCTCTGTCTGGTGGGCGTGGGTTGTACACCTGGTGCTGTGTGACACACAACAGGACTGTAATACCGACTAAAAAACGACTAACCTAACTCAGAAGAGGGCAGAGCTCACCTCTGTCAGACCGCTGCTCGTCCCGGGGTTCTCAGAGGACCACAAACCTCCATCCTGTCACACAAATTCATTCTTTTCACTTGTTTGTTCAACATTTTTAAATAAATGAAGTCAAAGAAAAATAAAAGAAAATATAAATGTTAAAGAGTTGTTCTTTTTTCCCATTTCATCCCACTCTAACACAGCCCAAACCCACTTCAAAGGTCTTTTTATATTAAAGATATTAATTTAAAAAATGTAAAAGGGAGTGGGAAACATGAGGAAGCACAACTAGTTTTAAATGCAGCTTTTGTATAAAATATATTAAAGGGACAGTGTGTATTTTCACTGGTGACAGGGGCAGTACATACATAAATCTCAGCAAACTAGCAGTATTTTTGTGTTTGACTAAAAGCTTTAGGGTCAAAAATCCCTGGGAGAACAACCTCCAGCAGCATGACACACACCAGACTCCCTTTCATCCCTGGTAAAGAGGTAAACGGGTAAAACAACGTTTATGAATGGTGAAAGTTTTGCAACCATTTGTTCCAAATCAGTAAATGCATTTGTCCTCACGGGCTTCCGTGGGAGAGACTTAGACCCACTCCCGTGTATTTTAGACCTGATTTTTATGGTTGTTTGCTACGAAACTGCTAATGTTTTTCAACAACTGGGCAACATTTAGATTTCCAGAGATCAACGGTAAAAACTACATTGTGTCTTAAAAATAAGTTCCTGATTTTTCTCTGCCAGTCTCAACATTTCTCCACTAGAGGGCTCTATTGTTTATGACATTTTCCTTTGAATCTCAGTGTCATGACGAAATGTATTAATGCCCATCCATCATGAGTCCTGTTCTCTCAGATCTAGTTAACTCCCACAGCTGTGTGCTGACATTACCTAACCAGTTTAAGTTAACTTGGTAAAGATGCTTCGGTTGGCGTTTTAACCAAACAGGGACATTGTGTCTCAAACACATTTTTCCTTTTTCCTGTCTGCCTGTGTGTGTCAGTGTGTCTGACTGCTAATCCAAATTAACTAGGACACGGTCACTCCCTTGAGCTCATCACAAGATCTGTGTGTGTGTGTGCGTGTGTATGTGCGTGCGTGCATGTGTGTGTGTGTGTGTGTGTATGTGTGTTGCTCTAGTCTACAAGGACTAAGCATTAATTTCAGTACACACACACACACACACACACACACACACACACACACACAGTGATTAAGGAAGCACAAGTCATATGTTTGAGAACGCCTCAGGTGTGTGTGTGTGTGTGTGTGTGTATCTGGAAATAGATGTTGAGAGGCACCCTTAACGAAGAAATGAGTCAGTGTGCTAGAATCAGCCTGCAGCAGTGTTTAATCACTGAGATCGCACGCTGCCTGTCAACGCGCTTCTGTCTTTCATTAGGACCCATCTCCCTCTGACTAATCCACTCAAACAAACGCCTCATTTCCTTGACCGTTTACTGCAGGAAGCTGCAATAAGACATCACTCATTCTAGCATCATTTGGTACAGTTTGACTGAAGCACTCCCATAATTTTGTTCTTTTTCCTAATATTGTTTTGTGTTATTCTGTATTAATTCTATTAAAATGTTAAATTGTCTGACTTTGCTATCATTTATCTGACGTGTGAGAACAGCCGAAGCATGTCTGATCAGACAGTAGAGAGGATAACTTTCATCTGGATGCAGTCGGGGTAAAGTCCGGCGTGGATCTGACTTACGCTGGCCAGCGGCAGGTGTCTCCGTCGTGTCTGGGCGTGTCTGGAGAGGAGGGAGCGCGCCGATATGCGGTAGTGGTTGAGCAGACAGGTGATGACCACCACCATGACCATCATAACCACCACGATCACCAAGATCTGGATGAACTCCAGCTGGGCTGCAAAGGCACAAAGACTGAGGTCAGTTTCAAGTGTTTCAAATACTCTCATTAATAAATGTCACTAAGTGTTCCTGGGAAGTGAAGAAACCATGTTTGTGATCAAAAGCAAACATTTCATACTAACGTTGGAAGTGGATTAATGTGCAGATGATTTTTTATTTACTCACAATAAAAATAAAAAAAAGGCTTATGTATAAATTTAGCTTCCTGTTTTCAGATGGAGCATGGCTGGTTTATAATAACTGTTTGTTCAACTTTGTAACAAGAGAAAATTGTGTCATTTTCAGTTATAAACCACTTAAATTTCCTTCAATAAATCAAAAACGGCTGTGGTTCATTTCTGCACCGAAACAGAATTTAATGTGACCAAATATGATAAAAATAAATAAACTAAACTGATACTAAAGGTATCATGGTGTTTGTGTGATGAGAGGGGTTCAGACCTGAAGGGGTTAGAGTGTCTCACACACACACACACACACACACACACACACACACACACACACACACACACACACACACACACACACACACACACACACACACACACACACACACACACACACACACACACACACACACACACACACACAGAGAGAGAGATCCAGACTTGACCAGACAGACAGAGCTAGCTTTGTTTAGAGACAGTCTACACTAACAACCCCCACCGCCCCTGCATGCACCACTCCCCATTATCGACACCCCACACACACAAAAGCGTGCACATACACACACACACACACACACACACACACACACACGCACACACATACACACACACACACACACACGCACGCAAGCACACGCATGCACGCACACACAATCAGAGCCTTTTTTACACACTTTTCACAGAGGGAAGGCAGAGGTCAGGGCCAAGTCAGACAGAGGGATATAATGCAGGCTGCACACACACACACACACACACGCGCGTGCACGCACGCATGCACACACACAGTTCTCACAGAGGTTTTCCTCTGGCAAGCTAGGCTGGGTTACAAAGCCAAGTGACAACTCATGAACTCAACAGGTCAGTCAGACTGAGTTTCACACACAGGCAGTAAAGGTAACTCTAATGACTCACACAGACCCACAACAAGAACAACACAGAGTTTAAACACCAAACAGAAACTTCACTAATAAAATCCCAGCAAGATCAATGAGTGAAACAGTGGTCATGGTCTGGTGAAACATTCCTTAGGAAACTATTCAGAATAACACAGTCTGAACTTAACCGTGCTAAAAAACAAACAAATGCTAATGAAAAAGAACTTATTGCTCCAAATGAATGAACACACAACACACACACGCGCGTGCACACACACACACACACACGTGTAAAAAAGATAGTGAACCAAATAATCTGTTTATATAATCCCATATCTCACCAGGACTCATCCCAACCGTTTCACTTCCACTAATGTTCCTGTTGTGACAAATAAAAAAAGGTTTCACACCAAACCTGAACTTGAAGAAAATCAGAGCCAGGGTGTGTGTTTGTTTAAAGGTCGATGTGGATGACGGCACATCGTTCAAACAAATACAGACTGGTGCTATTTGTCTTTTTAATGTAATTGCATAAAACCAAAGTGTTGTTTTGCATTAAAATAAAAACCTGCAGGTAGTAAATCCTAAAAATATTGAACTACAGGAAAACCTGCAAAACTAAAAGAAGTCTGAAAAGTTTATTCTGAATAAATACATTTATAATAAAACTATTTATTAAATTTTAAGGTAATGGATTTTCACCAAACCAGAGAATTTCAGCTTTTCCCTGGATTTTCTGTCTTCTGAGAATGAAATGAAGTGTTTCAGGAGAATCTGCAGAGCTGCGTGAAGGCAGGATTGAAGTATGAACTGTTTCTGCTCAAATCAGCAACAATATCAGAGCTGAGAATTTCAAACCAGGATGAAGTCACAGCTGAAGAATGTCTGATAAGAAACTCACCACAGAGTTGTGTCTGAACACAGTTTTCATGGCTGTGAGTCCCTGATGAGGGCTGCATAGTCGCTCCTTCTAAAGCACTCCTGTTCCTCTGATCAGAACCTGAAGAGCTCCTCTTGAGGCAAAGGCAGTGAAATAAAAGTATGGCAGAAGAACCAAAACAAAAAAAAGAAAGTAAAATAAAACGGCTGTAAAGCTGCCGGCTACATGTCGCTCTGATGCTCCGGCGCGGTGTGTGTGTCCTCACCAGCCCACACCCTAACTTGGAGCCTCCACTGAGCTTTGTCTGCAACTTTTTCTCACACACATTCCCACACGGCCCAGACATGCATGGAGGAAACAGCTGACCAGACCCTTCCTGCCTCCTCCAGCACTCAATGGATGTGAACAAAAGGGGTCAATGTGAGGGGGAGGAGGGGGGGGGGTGCTGGGAGCATCTGGGAAAGACAGATGGGTCAGAGGAAAGGACGGAATAATGATGAGGGACTGAAACGGGGAGAGAAGGGGGCACTCATTAGGACAAACAAACCAGAGACCTTCAAAGCTCGCAGAAGTGGATCGCAAATGGTTAAAATGTGATTTATGACACATGATGGTGGAAACAGGCTCTAAATTCCTCCAAACAACTTTAGTGGAGAAGAGTGAGGCGGCTGGTGGGCATTTCGCTCCGTCACAATAAACTAAATACTCCTTTAAAGAGAATTATTTATGATATTGGGAATCCTTTCTGTATAATGTTTAAACAACCGTTGGAGGGAAGAAAGTTTTATCTCTATAAACTGATAATCACCATATGGAAGTGCAGAGCTGCCAGGCTCACAAAATAGAATCAGAGCAATATCATGTTAGCATGTGATAACCTAACTGTGCCATGTTATTTTCAAAGTCCTACTATATTAATACTGTGAAAACTTGAGGAATATTATAAATAAGTTTATTAAAGTGCAAGTCACCACTAAATCAACTTTTTTTCTGATAAACTACATAAATGCGTGTTTAATCATGCTGCAGACACGTGTAGTCAATAGTTTTGCACTTTAGTGCATTTTAGTTAAAATTTAAATATTCTGCCTAAAACTGTCAGTGTTGTGTCGTTGTCACGTAAAAACTCTGCACTGCATTTGAATTTAAATCTGCCATCGCTATTGGCTAAGAGGTATCCTAGGAAGTTAGCTGGTACCATATGACGTCACAATGTCGTTGTGAGCCTGTGTGTGTTTGTGTGTATTTGTTAGCGGATCCGCCCTCTCCGTCTGCTAGGCAACTTCATTTGCTGCAGTTTTCAAACAGGAAGTGTGAGTGGAGTAGTAGGGGATGACTTGCTCTTGAAGTTTATATATATATACATTTATTATGTTGTACACATTATATATATATATATATACACACACACAAATAAATATGATTACAAATTGCAACTTTAATTGAACATGTAGAATATTTCTCTGTAACTAGAAATATTAGACCCTTTCTCTCTTTTTCCATTGATAACGTCTAATCTACATTTGCAAGGAAACTCCTCAAAAAATAGTTTTCCCCCTTTTCTCACTTTTCTATTTTATTTCCTTTAACTTGGTCTTCTTTCTCCCCTTCTCTTCCTCTTAACCACAGAAGCCAAATTATTTTTACTACATGCATAACTTGCTGCTGCAGTGATGAAAATACATGCTAAGGGCTGAAGCACAACAATATATCATCTCTTAGTGTTCAAGAAGCACACAGCTGAGGAGCTGACTGGTTTCTCAGCAGCATGTTTGTTTGTGTGAAGAGACAAATGAGTAAATGTTAGACAAAAACAGATTTTTACTTGTTTGCATCACCACTTTCTGCTCCGTAAAAGAAAATTGAATTACTGTCGTTTCTACAAAGTACAAAGTGAACCATTCTGCATATGGAGGCAAGACAAAAGAAAAGTTAGAAAAGTTCGCTCAGCTGTTCTGCTCTTTCTGTGGACAGCAGCGTGCCTAAAAACAAACAACACACACATAAAAAGTCCTCTTAGTAAATAAACACAGAGGAAGCCCAGAAACTAGATTAATAATTTTCAAGGGGAAGAGGTAAAAGTTTCCGCCCGGACCTTTTTGAATGTGACACATTCTAAGGCTGATCACCAGGAAGTGTTTGTTATTAGAGGCTGGATCCTTCTAAGTGCTCATTTTAAGGCAGATTACATCACAGCAAAGTAACAAGGCTGATACTCAAATGCGCCCTCATTTCCCCGAAGTTTCAGGGACAGAGATGGTGTAACCTTATTGGCAAAAAGCATCAAAAAAGATTCCTTATGGTCCAAATGGGAGGTTTTGGTCCTTGTAATGTTGGTAGACGAAGCAGGAGAGGGCTACAGTTTTAATTAATATCTGATGATACTAATAAATCACATATATTACACACTGGGCCTTTAAGGAAGTCCAACATTCAGTCATGTTTAAAACTTTTGCACATTTTAAAAATAAGAAATACAACAAAGTAAGTGTTTGTCTGCATCGCAGCTCGATAACAGTTCAAACATGTGACCTCCGGTTGTTCCTGGATTTACTCCGTGGCCCTGATTTATGTGACGTTATTGATAACTTGAAGTGGTTTCAGGTAAAGTTCGAAGAAAAACCAAGAAAGAAATCACACTTTGATGTGTTTCTGATACAAACTGTTTCTCATCACTGCTTTAGCTGCCTAAAAGTTAGAAGAAAAAAGATTCAGAGGAAACTCAAACCCTACATTTAAGGTTTCCTATACTCGTCTCTTGTGATACTAAATCAAACCAGCAGATTACTGTCCACAGCTGACCTGACTTCTCAGTGCTCCAGTTATTTTAAGTTGACCTGGGAAGCTCAGAAGGAAAACAACCAGAAAAAAAGTTAGTTTAAGACTTTGACTTTAGGTTTTGCTGCATGAAGGAGGCTGCTGATCCTTTCCCTCCCTCTGCAGTGTTGTCTAGACAGGAGGAGGCTGTAAGCCTGCCAGGCAGGCAGACACTGCATGGTTAATCTAAAGCAATTAGCTCATTTGTCATCCGCTGCCTGCTCTCCGTTTATCTGCCTTCATCTCCTCCTCCTCCTCCTCCTGCAGTCAGCAAAAGGTCGCAGGCGGTCGCTGCCGAGTCAGATGGCTCAGACAAGCTGGCAGAAAGAGGAGGAGGGAGGACGAGGAGGAAAACAGCATGAAGACAAATAAGAAGTAAAGATGAAGAATAGGAAGGAAACAACAAATGTGGTGGCGAGACGTAAAGAATCAAGAAGAAAGAATAAATGAGTGTTAAAGGAGATTAAATAAGTGATCAATTAAGAAGACAAGAAGGCAAAATAGATGAAAAAGATTAATAAAGAAAGAGTAAAAAGGAGGGAGAGAAAACTTCCTCCCCTCTTGGTCGTTGGATGACTCGGCAGTCTGGGAAGTCAGAAATAGCTCAGACAGCTGTGTGTGTGTGTGTGTGTGTGTGTGTGTGTGTGTGTGTGTGTGTGTGTGTGTGTGTGTGTGTGTGTGTGTGTGTGTGTGTG